GGGGGGGGGGTCTTTTGGTTTACTTTATATCAACTTTCTTGTTCTAGGAGTGGCATCCAATGTCTACAGTATAGACATTCTAAGTAAAATGTTTTATACTTGTGAGAAGATAGATAAGTAGATATTCTCGTTTGTGATGCTGTCAAGAATGTCTACTACAGTCTACAGTATAGACATTCTAGTAAAATGTTTTATACTTGTGAGAAAATAGATAAGTAGATATTATTGTTTGTGATGCTATCAAGTAATTTTGGTGATAATTTCTTAATACTGGTTTTAGCATGCAGCTTATGTATGTGTGCTACATCCTAAATGGACTTGGAATATCACAAATTCTTCCTCAATTGTGGAACATTGAGTGATTTTAATGGCTTAAGTTATGGTTTCTTCTGGTTACAGATTTCAAAGCAGATTCCCGGTATTGCCATATCTATTGAACGAGAAAACCACACCCATGGTTTCTGTTGCACTGAGGCTGGCTCATTATGGGTGGCTCAGCATGTGGCAAACTTGATAAAAAATCAGACGGCTTTTACAAACCAATAAGGTCCGACTCTTTTGCCATTCATTTGTGTTATGCGGGTTTTCTAAGTTAATCAAAGAAAGGATTAAACCACTAATAAATTTGAAACAATGATAGCTGAATAAATCTTAGTTTCATTTATTTATCAATGCTTCTAGTGCATTTAACAGTTTTAACATCCCCAACTGTATTCTATGATTTAGTAGCACCCGTCTTCCAGTAGCACAAAGTAAACAATCGCCAACTGCATTCTATGACTTTGTACCGCTCATCTCCCAGTTATAAAAAGTAAATAATTGCCAACCTTATTCTATATTGGGGCTGGACTAAGCTGATAAATTAACATGGCCCAATGGGTTAGCATGCTTATATATTATATATGTGTGTACGCGTGTGTACTGTATTCTATGACTTGGTAGCACTCATCTTCCAGTAGCACAAAGTAAACAATGGCCAACTGCTTTCTATGACTTTTAGCATGTTTGGTTTTACGTTTCAATATTTTAAAATGGACTTTCATACATTCCCATGTTCCAAATGACAAAGCAACTATGCTGATGAATTAGAAAAAACGTGAGTTACGTTAAACGTGTTTCCAAACATGCCCTTTGTACCACTCATCTCCCGGATTGAAAAACTAAACAATTGCCAACTGTATTCTATGTTGGGCTGGACTGAGCTGACAAATTAACATGGCCCAATGGGTTAGCATGCTTTTGGGTTGTGTGTGTGACAGAGAGTGAGAATTAGATTTTGTTGGGAATGACAATATAATTCTTGGGAAAGATAAATGCTGATTAAATATATTTTATCAAATTTTTTAAACCTTTTCTTCTCAAGAATATCATTTTAATAGTGATTTAATTATAAATAAGACTTTTGTTTTTATGAAAAGTTATTTTTTTCATCCATAAATATTACAATAACGGCAAAAAAAATTCGAATTTAGGATCTGCCCATATTATTATCGTTATCTTTATATATAGGATCTTTTTCAATTTTTGCTTGTCCTTTTTTATAAATGTTTTTTTTAATTGTCAGTTGTATTTCCATCAAAAAGTTTTAGTGTCAGGTTGGGCAAATTGACTCCTAAATCATCACATTTCTGTGAGGCTGGGCAAGTCGGTACCTTGGATGTGATTATCAAGGCTACCCTTTACTACCCTTCCAACTCCACCAAAGTTGAGCTTTAAAAGACTAGGAGTGGAGGGTTCCAATTTTCGTTTGGATCAACGATGTTATTTGGATAATGCTAGGTCGTTGCCCAATATAATTAATGATAATGTTAAAATGTTAAAATCTTTTAATGACATGATTTTTATACTTACAATTACAATTAATAACATTTTTCAAAATTAAATTTAGTAACATAAAGGTTGCTTTATGAGTTTACATACCAGTGGCTTTAATCATTGATGTGTGTCTATTTTTGTTCACATCGTATTAGGTTCTCGGACCTAAGTAAGGGCTTCTTTATAACATTGTAACATTAATCCCGTGTTTGGTATATATGTGGATGAATAAAAACCACAAGAGCATCATTCAATCATGCATGATTTCAAGGTAATAATTCCTATAGAATCTCTGGTTTGCGTGTCAACAGTTGGTGCCGTGGACCGTGGGGTGTGTTAGTTATTACGTAAATGGTATACGTAAATGGTATCAAATTTCTGTGACGTGGTTTGCACACCTATTATCAGATATGAATGGAACTTTGAAGTTTGGACGGTTTAAGGTTGCATAGTGCATACTGCATAAACTTTTCCAGAATTAATTCAAAGTATCCATATCCGGAAAATATGGATATTATTCTCATATCTGTTGCGTTAAATATACATATACTGTCTATACAAGTAGGGTTTCTGCCGATTTACAAATACGTGTTCATAAATTATCGATGAGGCATTTATTCTATGTACGTACTCTGAAAAGTCAATTTTAAACTGCTACTTTATATAAGACATGTATGGAAATCGAACTAAACTAATATAAGACATATAAGTCCTAATTCGGGAACTACTTATAAACTACTTTAATGAACCAACTTCCTAACATTATTGAATTACAACGGTTTGGTTACGAATTTTTAACATGCTTTAAAAACGAAATTTTATGAAATAATATTTTTAAAAAATCTTCAAATATTGTAAAAAGGTTTCTTTTTTTCTCGAAATAAATTGAATATGAAGTATTCAATGAGTAAAAGTATTTGAACCATAAGTTAAATAGTCCTACAATTTGTGACATACGTACGTCAAGATGGTGGAAGGTGTTTACGTATTTGATGTGTGTGAGATTGTTATAAAAACTTAGTCTCAAATATCCGTGTTCCATAAGAATACTCCTTACTAACTGTACCATCCCTGATGTAAGACCGAGGTCATGCCGAGATCACAATGTATATGTACCATTCTTAACGTAAGATCGAGGTCATGCCGAGATCACAATGTAATATATTGACTAAATATCAGTTGACTTAGACCTTGAAGTCAGTAATACCAATACTTCAGTATATAGACAACATCAAATGTATAACACGTGACAATAATGACCGACCTAATCATAGTTAACTCACTTCAGGTAACTGCTATAGCAGTTACATCGGAAAACCGCACAACTCAGGTAGGAGATAAGTATGAGGAAAGACAATAGACAGTAACTAACTTGATCGTCGGAATCCTTTTTGCAGGTACATTCAAGACGCTTGAAGAAGGAAACAACATAAGGAGACCTATCTTGGGAATCTGCCTCGGATGATCTCGACAAGACCAGAACAGGAAAGACGACCTGACTGAGTTAGAGATCCAACCTAATTCTTGTAAGAACATTTGGCGCTAGAAGGAGGGCATGATAAAACTTTTCCTCCTTCACCCTTATGGTTTCAACCCGAAGTCAGACCAACAAAGCGACAAGTATACCACGTCCAAACACACCAAACATGGAAGACAATCTGGCCCTGCGACGATTACTTGAACAGATAGAACTGATGCAACAACAACATACGGCAGCGATGGAAAATCTTCGTAAACAACATGAAGCCGATTTGCAATAGTTACGTGCCGAACATGCTGCATTCAGAGCTCAATGGCAACAAAATCAACTGCCACCATACACTCACCACGCCAGCCATGTTCCCCCTGCTGCAGAAGAGAATCAATCTTCTCCCGATCCCACATACCCGCCAGAACCTAGGAAGGCGATGTGCATCATAGGATCCAAGCGGGTTGGATGAAATGGAGGAGGGCGTCCGGGGTGCTATGTGATAAAAAGGTGCCTCTTAAGCTTAAAGGAAAGTTCTACCGTACTGCTGTTAGGCCGGCTATATTATATGGGACCGAGTGTTGGGCCGCAAAGGGGCAACACGAGAATAAACTTCATGTAGCCGAGATGAGGATGTTACGGTGGATGTGCGGACACACGATAAAAGATCGGATTAGAAATGAATGCATCCGAGAAAGTGTGGGGGTTGCACTTATTGTGGAGAAGTTGGTTGAGTCCCGTCTTAGATGGTTTGGGCATGTGTGGAGGAGACCGGCTGACGCACCGGTGAGGAGGGTCGATGAAATGGAGGCTACTGTTGGAGCTAGAAGGAGAGGAAGGCCTCGGAAAACTATAGGGGAAACAGTGCTAAAGGACATGGAGATCAATGCCTTATCAAGAGAGATGATTTATGATAGATCCCTATGGCGTCGTTTGATCCATATAGCCGACCCCACCTAGTGGGATAAAGGCTTGGTTGTTGTTGTTGTTGTAGAGTTAAGATAAGTATTTGTCCTCTAATTGTTTTGGGGAAAAAGAATTGTAATCCGAGCTGGTATCAATTTTTATTTTTAAAATTAAGGATAGGTTTTTGGTTGATATTTGAAGATTATTTTTGTACTGTTTGTCTTAACATTTTTTTTTGGCGTACATACAATCAGAAATTATACTCTGATTAACGTTCTCAACTGCTGTGGAAAAGCTTTTGCTTCTGGACTCGTGTTATTATATTTCGTGTCAATTTTCCTTTCCAATAGTATATGCGTAGTTTAATATTGACAAAAAAAAATCTCAAGAAAGTGTGAATTATAATAATGAAGACAGTGTCATCAATGACAAAGGTAAAATAGGTGATGAGGATCACTGAAATCACGAGTGTATCCGAAACGTTAATCTAAATAAGCATAAAGCATGTAACTGTCCCGTGAATACCGATGTGGTTTTTAATTTTTTTCTTAATATAAGCAGAGGGTTCCCTAATGATTCCAGTATCTTCATGCATGCTATTGATTGTAACGTACCACGAATTATAGTGCTTTTAAAGTGTAAATCCGAGTTTACATTCACAAGTAACCAGTATTTAATTCGTTGTATTTTTTTATGATGAGTGTAATTTGCGGTACCTTAGTTAATTGATCAATAAATTTCCAAAACTTTAACCTTTGAGAAATGGTAAGTGCTTACTTTCACCTCAGCTTTTCCGGTTTTAAACAAGCATCCAATCGCAGCAAGTTGGGCACACGATTGGCTCTTGTTTTGACTTTTGCTAGTACAAGAGATTGCTGGCTGCCAACTCTAACATTGAAATTGGGACATATTGAAAACCTTGTTTTGCTAATTAGTAGTTACTACCAGTGAACGAACATCGACATGATCATTGGCTTAGTCAATGATTTAGGTCGCAGATCCTCATGTGGAGTCGTCATTCGTGATGAGCATGGAACTTTGATGGCCTAGTTGTGAAGTATATTTTTGGGTAGGGAAGGAGTTTTCGTAGGATTGAAGTTTATTAGTTATTTTGAACTCCAATGTGTTGTTAACCCGTTGACGAAAGGATGCTATTCTCATCCATGTTTCAATATGATCAAATTCGTGGTCTTTCTTAATTTTTATAAATGTATTATTAAGTATTTCATGGCAATAGTACTTCTTAGGGGGTAAAATTTGAATAGAACTTTACTTATTTCATTAAAAATTGTAAACATCAATCGATATAATTTTTTTTAATGCCAAAATATCAATCAATAAGAGACTTGTGGATCGATTCTCGCTAGCTATTCTAATTAATGCAGAGCAACTTGTAACTAATTAATTTTATAACATAAGATAGTTGATGTTTAATAATTAATACTATTAATTTCATTCGTATTTTCTTTTTTTTTTTCATTTCTATATATATAAATGGTACAGGGTCTTTTTATTGATGAGCATGTGATAATAAGCGATAAAATTACCTTCAAGGATGAATTGCAAATTTTAAATTATTATTTTATAAATGGAAAGTAATAGATTTGATTCTGCGAGTTAATCTAGATTCAGAAACGACCCAACTACAATGTTTTTTCTTTCTTAGAATATGGCTGCACCCTAAAACGGATACTCTTCTCTTCTCAACGGTTATGTTTTATATAAGTGGGTCTTGACATAAAATTCAAGGCCGAATGGCCAAATGCTTCAGAAGTCTGAATTTCGTTCATTTGGACCTATACATATTAGTTCAACTACAACTTTAAAATTGTGAATCACGACAACAAAATAGTAATAGTTTGTGAAAGGACAGTGTCTTAATTGTCTTCTAAGGAATAATACATACTTGGCCGAAAAAAATGGTCGAAGGCAAGGGTGTTCGAAACTTTACTATTTCACTAGCTCGGTTTGACCAAACTAGTTTTGGCGAGTTTAGGATTTAATATGGTAAAATTAACTTATAAATTGGTTGAAAAATTACAAATTAGTTGAAAGTCTATAAATTTTAAGGTAGAAGTTAAAAATTTTAAAGTTTACAAACTAATTGATGGAATTAAAAATATTTAGTAATATTAACGGATAAGTTAATTAATTAATATAAAATGACATGATTATTTACTTAATAATGAGAGAGAGGGAGAGAGAATAACATAAAAAATGACTTCTAAATTAAAAAGTGTAAAATAATTCAAGCAAATTACTGAAAATAAAAAAAAAAGGAAAGAGGAAAAAAATTAAGAATTTATAAATTATAAGATATTTTAATTAATTTGTGGAAATAAATTATTAGTTCCTAAATTTTTTTTTAATTAAATTATTATATAAACTAATCAAAACAACTTATAAATTCATCAAATAACTTATTAAATACATTCTTATAGAATATACCCGCATATTTTAAAGATAAAAAGTAAGATTTACTTCCAATGATATCAACCCAACTCAATGTCTCAATTTTTAAAATTTATACTTAATTTTGATAATTATGCATTCTAATTGATTTTTTTTTTTTTTGTGAAACAGCTTATCCTCTTTGTAATTTTTATTGATAAAAAAAATGAGTTTTTCAACTCAATAACTAGTATTATGTATATAATAAATATGCATTATCCGCGGTAAAAGTGGCAATACAGGCAAACAAGTAATGTTATAAAATATATTTTAAATAATATTATACGAAAAATATGATTTATTTATTTTTCTCTAATGTTACAGTTTGGAAGAGATGAAATTAAATAATAAATATCACAAGAAATATTAAACTAGATGCATATTTATCCCAAATCCGCATATCCTTGATCCCCTGTCATGTCAGCTCCAACTTGCCTGTCGTTCAAGATGGATCTCCCAAATCTCTTATTTAATGCTTTGTTAAGTAGGCATTTTGTCTCTTTAATACACCCCCATCTGCATTTCAGTTCACAACTAGACAAATGAACAACTTGAATATCCAATTACTGATAAGAAACTAAGCCTCAAAACTCAAATTGCTCTGATTCCGAACGCATGTGATCGGATGGCCATCGTTCTAGATACCTCGACGAACATATTTTTATCCCAAAACAAATGTGCGGTCCAGATGAGTGCTTAGTTAGTCAAATGAAGTTCATGATGACAAGCCAGAACCATTAAGTACATGTAGGGACCTCTTAACTCTAAGTCACATGCAAACCCAATTAATAACATCCCCTCATCCCATATATTAAAAACCCACACACCTTCCTTTGACTAACCCAACCTTTTCTCTCTTTTTCATGTTAGCAACTTAAGTACTCACGAAACACACCCATGTCTGGTTCCAGAAAGAAGCTTCTTCTCAACACCGTGTCCGTGAAACTAGGTTGCAGCAGCTTCAGAAGACCGAAGGTGTTGTGGCGCATGTTCCACCCAAAGCCAAAACCCACTTTCCAAAGCCACAAACATTTCAACCATTCATCGAGTGAGGACAAATGTGACAGCACCAGCACCACCAACACCAACACCAACACCACATTCTCTCCCTACGTTGACTCCTCGCACTTTTCTGACTCAGATAATTCGTACGTGAAGAGTGTGGGGGGTTTGGGAATAGGAGGGAAAGAAGGCGTGGCAGTGGAGAAAGACTCTGATGACCCTTATCTGGATTTCAGACACTCGATGCTGCAAATGATATTGGAGAACGAGATATACTCGAAGCAAGATCTCAGAGAGCTTTTGAACTGTTTTCTGCAGCTGAATTCGCCGCATCACCATGGGGTTATTGTCAGGGCTTTCACTGAGATCTGGAATGGGGTCTTCTCCGTGAGGTCTAGTTCTCCCAGGATCAACATCAATCGTAGGCCACGTCACTACTAAGTGCTGCACCTGCACGTGAAGGTTAACCAAGTTCTTTGTTATTCTAGGCTAAATATGTGGTCCAACTAGGCACAAACTTTGTTCAGCTATGCTAATTAGGTTGCTAACTTTGTAATTTTTGTTGTAGTAGTACATTTGTACTACAACATTTTGATTAGCCAAATGTAAAAAGGGTGGTACCATTATCTGTTATGAGTAGTACGGAGTAGTATTATTATCTGTTACTACACCTAGTTGGGATATATTCTTCTTCTTCCTCTTTACTTTTTAGTTACAAAGTTGGGTAGAATTTCTCCACCGGGTGAAGCTGGATTGTATTTCCCTAGAAAATGATTGGTAGAACTCATGCTATGTTTTAAGAAATAAAATAATTGTGACCATGTCATGTATTTGTTTGGGTGTGAGGGACTTGGTCAAAATAATTCCCAAGTTTTGCGATGACAGTATAGTATGGCGATGGTGATGAAAAAAAAAATGGAAGAGATATATTGGGATTTGAATTACAATAATGAGTGGTCCGAGGGAAGAGAGACAGCGAGTTTATTGCTTTTGAATGAGATGAGAATAGAAACTTTTGTGACTGACTAGAGTGCATTTTCCGATGTTGGCATTCAAGTTAGCTACTCTGTTTTTATTTTTTAGTAGTATTAGGACACAACTTGCCAGTTGGCACAATGCCTGCCAGATTTTTTAATAATAAAATAAGAACTGGCCAAATAAGTGGTAAAACTTGGGAAAAAAAATATACAAATTTAAGATAAATTTAAAGCTATCCAATAAATTACTAACTGGTAAGTTTCTTAATCATAGTGATATACAGTAGACATTCGGGTCTTTTCAAGGGTATAAATGAAACTTCATACTCATTTTGCCTTAAATAAATGTATTTTAAGATTTTTATAATAAATTAAGTAAAAATATGTATAACTTTTTTTATTTTATAATTTTACTAAAATAATTTTATTCTCTTTATAAATATCTTTCTTTTAATTATAGTGATTGAATAATTTATGAGTGGATAAATTAAGAAAAAATAATTAATATGATATTAAAAAATAAAAATATCATTTATTTTAAAATATTTTTTAAATGTTAAAACTGTAATTATTGTGAAAATAAGAAGTTCTATTATATTAAAAAAACTAAGAATATATTTATTTTGAAACTTATTATTGTTATTAAATCATATACCCTTTTGTTTCTTTTGAATGGTTGATTTTTAGAATAATTTTGTTTCTATTTATATATCTCTAGAGTTTAAAATAATATTAATTATTTAGTTTTGTAGATTATACTCTTATTTCTTACTTGATTTTTAATTAATATAAGTATTTATAATTAAGATATATTTATTTTGTAAAAATGAAAATTGATATAATAGAGAACTTTAAAACTATTTTATAGAAAATATAAGATTTATTATATTTTTTATTTATGTATAAAAATTTTAAATAACACCTTAAAAAGATGAAGATAGTACTTTCTATAGACTTATATATAAACAAAAAATGTTTAAATTTTTTGACAGAAATATGAGTAAAATTATTAAAGCAACTATATTTAGTTTTTAATCTAAAAACACTTATAAAGTAATAAATAGAAGCACTATCAACAATAAATATAATTAATGATATTTTAGAGAATATAATATATATTTTTTGTAAAATCGTAAATATTATATTTATTTAATTAAATTTCTTAATACATGAGAAATTGATTTTTTTTCCCTTATATATAATCTTAGAGATGAGTATTTTTTTATTGAAAGTTTTTCTCTTTTTTATCTCTTCAGTACAGCACTCATTACTGTAGTGCATGCATTCAGTAGTATTTACTTGGGCATTGATAACATGGCAGCAGGCTTTTAATTTGTATTTAAACCTCTTAATGGAGGTAAAAGTCAGCAAGCATTTAAATCTGACAGGAAAAAAAAACTTCCATTCTTCATCAATTAAAAATATGATTACATTTATTAATATTTATGGTTCATGTGAAATGAAACAAAGAAAAGTTTACAATTTGAACTAATAAGATTTTTTTTTTTTTAATTTGTCTATTTAAGTTAAATAAAATATATTTTTTTCTTCTTTATTCTAACTAAATACAAAAAAAAATTATATACATAAGTTTATCCAGCGAAAGTCACCTCTACAAATATATATTAATTCTTAATTTTTAAATTTAAAAGTACTGTGTGAATATGTTTATGGAAAAAAATAATAATAATCTTTTAATCCAGAAGATCACTTGGTGGCTGGAATTGCTTATAAGAAAGAAGTGATGAAGAATGACCCCCTCCAGCTTTCACATGAAGGCTAATACATATAATAATTCCTCTATGAATAACTAATTTAATTTAGCATAAAGAGTTTAGCCACTTTTATAACATTTCGGATTGTCGAATGGAACTGAATTAAATTGTACTTTTCAATATCTAAATTATAACATTGTTCAAAGTCACAAAAAAGAATGGGATTATTATGAAAAGTAGAGATTAAAGAGCCAATTAGATAAGCAATTATAGCTGTAAGTTTGGTCTATTATGTGAGGCCAATACTTGTAAAGCATATTCATATGGGTTGGTCTAAATTTTTAATCAGCCCTTTTTATTTTTATTTTTTAAATTAATAAAAAAAATTACTAAGACACGTAACTTCGATAGATTTCAAATTTAAAAATTTTAGTCCTATGCTTATAGATCACTTTTTTATATAGTCTGACCCGATCCGCAGCCCTTGAAATAATGACATTTTTTTGACAGCTCTGTAATCAGCCTATGAAATTTGTTGCGGTGAAAGCTCCTGAGATAGAATACGACTTTAATTATTGAAAAGATGACATTTTTTTAAACGTAAAATATATTTTCTTTTCATTGATTGTTCTGAGTCGTTAAACAGACAGAGAGAAAAGCAGGGATGTTTAGAAGTTTTCTGAGAGCTCATTCTAGAAATAACACAGATTTTTTCTTTTGAATCTTTTGTTTGCCTTTGTACCCTCTACAATCTAACTTGGCGATTAATAGATAGATTCAAAATGTGATGATGTGCTTTCAGGGGATGATCAACTCCGTAGCATGGCATTTCATGATAATGGAAACACAAGGGGTCATCATTGATATCAAGCACGAGACCACACCACAATCTATGATAAAGGTTTGTAACCAAATTAGAAAGCTGTCCAACTCAGTCTCATCGAATAATTGCTATGAAGATAAACTACATGTTTGTTGCTTTTCACGCAAATGTTTCATTCATATTCAAACAAATTATGTTTATCAATTTGGCCAACACATATCCAAAGACTTTATCACCTGACATACAAATTACTGTCCTACTCCTACTAAATAACCAAATAAAAGGAAATAAAATTTTATTTTTCTTTTCTTTCATTTTCTTTCTCCTACTAAATAACTTCAAAAATTATTTACTTTTACTCATATTTTTCTCTTTTTTTTTTCTTTTTCTTTTTTTCTTTATTTCATTTTTGCCCCTAAACCAAACATATTAAAAAAGTAAACTTAACAGAACTGGAGAGTGTGGATAGAAGGAACATGCGAGTGTTCCTGTCAACCATGTCATTTTGATGTGGAGTCATAGCATATTTAGCAGACATGACTACAAAGTTTATCAGATTATCTTCCTTCTAATGATGGGGACACCTTTGTCCTCATCTATGCCAGAGTTTACATTATTTGTTGCATCTAACTGAAATTTACGTTCTGTATAGTGTTATATTTTAATTTATGTCAACATGAGACTGAGCTAAACAAAAATTCAAAAAAGAAGTTGGTTTTGTCCACAGTTAAAGAGCATGCTTCCTGCTAACGCATCTATTCATTGAGTTGGCATTTGGATTTGGACACACATATAAAAACATAAAATAAAAAATCTGAGACAAAATTGATACATTTCTTAGTTCCTCAATCTTTGTTACTAGTTTTCCAAGAAAAATATCAAATGTGAATTCATATACAATGCCTAGTTCGCGTATAAAGTTTAGACTAATGAGCATCCTTTTGCAAGATTAAATAGGAACTTTATCCTGTTGTATTTTCTTCTTATTTGTATTTATTTTGGTCCCTAGGAGGCTAGGACTAAGAGCAAAAGTTGTCACTCACTAGGCCGGGGACTAGAGTATCAATTTATCACGCCATTACACTGCATTCACTGACAAAAAAAATGAACATTTATTATCAGTTAATGATAACCAATTCAATTTCATACTAAGATCAACGTCATCATTTAAGATATGTGCTTGTTTTTCAAGTAAAAATTATTCTAAAGAAAATAACTTGTATATATTGACACGATTGGAAAATAATGACTAAATTATCTTTTTTATACATTTTTGCAACTTTTAAAACATAAAGGTGTTTTTTTTATTTTATTAAGCAACAGGGGTGAAAATATTTTTAATCTTATTATATACAATGTCATTTCCTCCGTGTTTGGTTTATTATTTTTCACTTATATAACATAAAATAATCATCATAAAGCTGACTGTGATGAAAAAACACTTGAAATTGGTTGAAATAAGAAAGAAAAAAAAAAAGATATTCAAAATTGAATGGTCCAAAAGGTGAGAACTGGTTAAAATTGGAAGAATTTTAAACCAAAAGCAATTGTTGCGGAAACGTCTAGCAAATTTTAAACCAAAAGCAAAACAAGAAAGAAAGAACACCAAGAATTTAACGAGGTTCGGCCAATTATGCCTACTTCCTCGGACACTACCAAATATATTTTACTAAGAAATATTACAATAGAGAGAGAAGAGAAAACTACAAGCCTTAGAAGTTACAAATGAACTTGTAGTTGGGATGATCTCAAAGTGAAGGGAAGGGTTTCTATATATAGAACCTAAGGCACTACACATTCCCAAACCTATCCAATGTGGGACTAATTTGGCCACATCAAAAAAAACTTATTCGATGTGGGACTAAATTTGCCACACCATATTCAACAAATCTCCACCTTGGCAAATTTCATATTTTCAAATCTCTCATCTTTGATAGTGTCTACCAATGCAGTCTTCAAATTTTGATAATATTAATCAAGTCCAAACAGTGTTGGAACTTGATTGAATCTACTACCTTTGTCAACATATCAGCTGGATTCTCTGTGGTCCTTATCTTCTGGATAGCCACTCCACCTTCTTCGATAATCTCTCTTATGAAGTGGTAACGAACATCAATATGCTTCGTCCTTGCATGGTAAGTTTGATTCTTTGCCAACATGATTGCACTTTGACTATCACAATGCACCTTCACATGCTTTTGTAGAATTCCTAATTCACCAAGCAACCCTTGAAGCCAAATTGCTTCCTTCACAGCCTCTGTCAAAGCCATATACTCTGCCTCTGTTGTAGACAAAGCTACAGTTGACTGTAAAGTAGACCTCCAACATACCGGTGCTTTTGCCAAAGTAAAAACATAGCCAGTAGTTGATCGACGATTATCCAGATCTCCAGCATAGTTGGAATCACAATATCCAACCACATTTTGACCATCTTGTTCCTGCCGCATATGCCATAACTTGGCCGACTCCAACTCCTTCTCGTCACTGGATGCCACTACTGCAGTTCCAATAATAGTAGTACCTTGGTAATAGTACAACCTATTATTTTTCCGAACTCCTTTCATTACCACC